TGTGTGTGTGTGTGTGTGTGTGTGTGTGTGTGTGTGTAGATGTGGATTTGTTGGAGTATTGATGGTGGTAGAGAAGACCAACAAAGAAAGATGAGACCAGGCAGAAGGTCATTAGAGCTCACTTTGATAAAACAGAGGACTAGGAGGCTGTAAAGGGAGTCTAACACACACACACATAAACACACACACACACATTCACGTCTATATATATCAAGACTTCAGCATCTGTGTTACTCTCTAGGATTGGCCCTGCTTCAAACTCAAGTATGTTTGCAGTAGCCCTCACCAGCCAGTTCCACTCTGATTTCTGAAACCCCGAGACCCTTGATTCTATCTGGGYGGGGCTGCCCAGCCCAATTTTATATCAATCAATCAAGTTCATTTGTATAGCACATTTCAGCTACAAGGCAGTTCAAAGTGCTTTACATCATAAACTGTTGCAGTAATCAATGCCACTAAAGATAAACGCACGGATGAGTTTCTCTAGATCTTGCCGAGACATTAGTCCTCCTAATCCTGGAAATGTTCTTCAGGTGATAGAAAGCCGACTTTGTAACTGTAACTGTAACGCCACTAACTGAATCGTTTGCAGCGACCAACTTTTTTCTTTTCACGAGTTTAAGTGCACAACAACAGTAGCAAGATACCAATCAACAACAAGCTAACATTAGCTTACCACCCTGTGTCATCCTGCCCTCTCGTTTTAAGCTTCATACTGCAGGATGGTCAGGTACAGACCTCAGTAGCTTACTTTTCATTCATGTTTGGTGTAGACCATTATTGTTGTGTTGCAAATAAAATGAAATAAGATAGTGCATGTTTAATGATCCTGCCCACAACAAGGTGGCTCTCAGCTCAATGCAAACACAACCAGGGCCGGGGCAGAGTAAGGCCTGGCCGACTGAAGCAAAAACACCTTCTGAGCTCTTGATAAACAATTAGAACCTGCTGCACATTTACACTTTAAACACTGATTGTATTGTTGGCCTTCTGATGTTATTATCTCTAGTTTGGTCTCCTTTTTGTTTCAAGTGTGGTCTTTTTTATCCTTTTTCCCTTATTACTTTCTTAGTATCGTTTTAGTGCTAGTTTTTTTTTTTAATTTTCATCTGCTGGTCTCTTGGCATTCAGTGTGGCTGGCAAAGGAAGAATTTCATTGCTCAGGGAAACGTTTCATCTGTGTATATGACAATAAACACTTTGAATTTGAATTTGAATTGAATTTTACAAAGTCATCTGAAATTGGTAACAAACCTTGAGGAAAATATCTACACTTTTAAAATTTTGATTTTATTCTGTTTTGTTAAATCTTTCTACAGCAAGTGTAGTTCATAGCTGACAACATGATTTTTATTCAATGATTCCTCGTGACAARTGTTATTCTAAAACCTGTCTTTATGTTTCAATATTTTCATCTTTTTTTTATTTCCCTTCTTTGTGTCAAACTAATCAGTAAAAGCTGCCTGCAGATCTTTGAACGTGYTGCTCAGAGGATTATCATAATTTTTATTGGTCAGTTTTGTTTGTTTACTAAAACAATTAGGCTCAAATTTGTAGCTCACAAAATCAATTACCGTCTCCGCTGCAACATTACGCGCTCGCTTCACACCCTTAAAGATGTGTGGAATAAAGAAAATCCATTAGCTCCTATAGTGCTGCAGGATTAGCTATTCACTGAAGCTCAGAAAGTCCCATCAGAATCACTGCAGACTACAACACAGCTAAGACTTCTTGTTCCATAATAACAGCCCTCGTACTGAAGGTCAGTGGTTTCCTCCCATCTGGCTGCAATTTGCTTTTTCCAATTTTCCCCTCATCTTCTTCCATTTTTTTCTGCTGAGTCACTGCTCTGCTCTGTTGCTGCCTTCACACTGTTTCTGATTCTGCTTCGTCGCTGTTCATTTCCACTGCATGCATGTCTCTTCTCAGTCTCTTTCACTTAGTTCTGTTTCTGATTCTGCTTCGTCGCTGTTCATTTCCACTGCATGCATGTCTCTTCTCAGTCTCTTTCACTTATAAGAAGCTGCATTTTTTTATCCTCATCTCTGCTCTGTTGTCTTCCAGATTCCTTAAAGAGTAACTTACCCCAAAATTAACTTATTTTTAGCTTATAAACTGTCTAGAATGTGTCTAAAATGTTT